GTTTCAATGCATGCTCGAGCTACTCGAGCTGCCACTTCAAGCAAAGACAGAAGGTAGCACCGAAGCTGTGTTCCCCAAAGTTCAGAAAGCGCTGCAAGTATTTGTGGGATCAACGAACATATCGTGGATGGACGAAATCCTGCACCACTTTGAAACCAGGACAAACCATTGTTTGTTGGTATTTACATGGCAATCATTATCCCAAGGTTTTTAGGTGGTGCGAAATGGTTTCAGAATGCCTCAAGGACAGTCTGAGATCTTGACGCAGAGCAACAACTTGCCTGGCCGCATTTGGTTGCTGGCGCAATTCTTGTGGCTTGTCCTCGCACAGAATGTCACTTGACCCTTTGGACTTTTTGTCGCAGCACCTAACATCTTCTTTGCGCAAAATTTCACAAGCTCACCTGGGTATATAACGCGCACACCCGCAATGATGGTCCCTTGTTTGAGATCGAAATTCACCCACTTTAAAAAGGTCAACGCACCCCTTTGCTTGGCGTTCGCTGAGCTGGTGATCAACCCTTCACTACACTAGGCTTCCAGCCAACCATGGCAAAGATTCCTACGCGGACCATAACCATGACACACATCATAGAGGCGTTTCTCAAAATTTGGGACCACATCTTGGTAGGTAGTGTCCTCTTGATGTCCCTTTAAAACCCATACAACAAAGAGCACTTGGTAGGTAGTTTCCTCTTGATGCCCCTTTAAATCCCATACAACAAAGAGCACTTGGTGGGTAGTTTCCAAACCCATACAACAAAGAGTACTGGGTAGGTAGTTTCCTCCTGATATCCCTTTAAAACCCATACAACGAAGAGCACTTGGTAGGTAGTTTCCTCCTGATGTCCCTTTAAAACCCAGAGAACAAAGAGCACTTGGTAGGTAGTTTGCTCCTGATGTCCCTTTAACACCCATAGAACAAAGAGCACTTGGTAGGTAGTTTCCTCCTGATGTCCTTTTAAAACCCATAGACCAAAGAGCACTTGGTAGGTAGTTTGCTCCTGATGTCCCTTTAAAACCCATAGAACAAAGAGCACTTGGTAAGTAGTTTCCTCTTGATGTCCCTTTAAAACCCAGAGAACAAAGAGCACTTTGAGGTAGTTTCCTCCTGATGTCCTTTTAAAACCCATAGAACAAAGAGCACTTGGTAGGTAGTTTGCTCCTGATGTCCCTTTAAAACCCATAGAACAAAGAGCACTTGGTAGGTAGTTTCCTCTTGATGTCCCTTTAAAACCCATAGAACAAAGAGCACTTGGTGGGTAGTTTCCTCTTGATGTCCCTTTAAAACCCATACAACAAAGAGCACTTGGTAGGTAGTTTCCTCTTGATGTCCCTTTAAAACCCATAGAACAAAGAGCACTTGGTAGGTAGTTTCCTCTTGATGTCCCTTTAAAACCCATACAACAAAGAGCACTTGGTAGGTAGTTTCCTCTTGATGTCCCTTTAAAACCCATAGAACAAAGAGCACTTGGTGGGTAGTTTCCTCTTGATGTCCCTTTAAAACCCATACAACAAAGAGCACTTGGTAGGTAGTTTCTTCTTGATGTCCCTTTAAAACCCATAGAACAAAGAGCACTTGGTAGGTAGTTTCCTCTTGATGTCCCTTTAAAACCCATAGAACAAAGAGCATTTGGTAGGTAGAATCCTTCTGATGTCCCCTTAAAACCCATGGAACAAAGAGCACTTGGTAGGTAGTTTCCTCTTGATGCCCCTTTAAAACCCAGAGAACAAAGAGCACTTGGTAGGTAGTTTTCTCCTGATGGTTTTTTAAACCCCATACAGCAAAGAGCCTCCTATTCAAAGCCATCTCCAAACCACTGCCTTTGCCGGGCAGGCTCGGTCGTTTTTTTTGCAGGCGGGCGGACGCCTGAGGGCAGCGGCGAAAGCGGTGCAGGCGAGGGGTGGGGTTCTGGGATTTCATGGCTGGAATGATCAAAAGGCCCGTACCTTGGGATGACCGTCGGTTGGAAAACCACCCAAAGATGTGGGATTTTCCCACATGGGAAAAGTCACCCATGGTCATTTGGGGGCCAGAAATCCGCGTATGTATTCCCCAAATGATGTCCGCAGATGATTTGGCAAATTGAGGCTGGACAGTATTTGTCTGCCAGTCAGCGATTTAGGACGAACCGGTGACTGTAGCTCCACTCGCGGTCGTATCAAGAAGCACGGCTTGCATGACAACTTGCCACGGCCCGTGCTTTTCCTTCTATCCGAATGCCGGCAGGCCTGGAAGCACTCCAATCAGGAAACCCCCGTTTGGGGCGGATTCTTTTAAAACAGATGGGCGATTTGCTGCGCCACTACAAAAACCATGGGAAACTGGTGTTTGGTTTTTTCGGCGGAATCTCGT